TTTTTCTATTTAAAGAGGAATATTTTGCTAAAAATTATACTCTGTAAGTGATTCTATTTGGACAGCTGTCTCTCCTCTCCTCCTCTCTCTCTCTCTCTCTTTCTATATATATATATATATATATATATATATATATATATTGAGCACACACATATATATACCCGTGCTGCAACTGTTTTCACTGTGGTAAGTTAATGCGAGTCACGTCTTATTGTATGATGCATCTTCTGTTCCACAGGCTTATCGCTCACTATAAATGACAAAGGCCAAATTTTATGATACTTGAAAATACAATATACCAGAAGGATATTTTTAACTTTGAAATAAAAAGGCTCGAAGTTTCACAACGTATGCTGCTGTTTTGAAATACTAAAGCATTGAAGTAAGTCTTTTCAGACATATGCATAATCGCACTTTGAAAAGTAACGAAACAGAGACGTCTTGCCAACAGAGAAGGGATGTTATGAAAAAAATTAGAACGCTCCTTTCTTAGAGATAATCTATTCTGATCTATATTGGCAATTGTTTACTTTGAAAAAACAATGTCACGTAGACTCCACGCTTGGCCAACGTGAATACGCTTTATTTTGATCGTGCCCGGTCATAAGAGTATTAATAGGGCCTTTATAAAAAAAAAAACAACTGCTTTTCTCACTTAGAGAAGCGCGATCTATCGATGTTCTGATTTGTGAACTCCACTAACGAGGTGGTTCTATGGTCGAGGCAACGCATTTCAGTAACTGATATGATAAACCTAGCACTTTGGGATTGGGTCAATAAAATGATACCTGGTTAGTCTCGCCTTCAAGAAAACCTCCAGTTCGCCCAATTTTACTTTAGAGAAAGGCATCGCTGGCTACTTATGTTACAATATACGCAGACGGCATATCCCGTAAAGTCCTCTGCAAGAAATTAATTTCAGTTTTTGCTTAGATAGGAGAACGTTTGTATCTTTACTATAGGAATCGTAACTAATGGTTAAATCCAGATATCTACAATATACCTGAAAGGTTACACTGCACCACGGCGTTCGACCGTGAGAAATACTTACGAACAGCCAAATATTTTTGGATATCTCAGCTAGCCATTGTACTATTATATATATATTCCAGTGATCGTGCTGGCTGTTGTCAGCGTAGATAACTGTAGATTCGATAACAAGCAAATCAGACCTTTGGTTGCCAAGATCCATACATCTCTGCTAAGAGTAGAACGGGCCCGTCGTTTCCATTTTCGCATTAGAGCTACAATGATTTCTCCTTGGCCTAATCATTATAAAATGTCGCTATTATTAAGCGTACGCCCAATGGAAAATTATATATTATTTCATAAGGCGAATATTAAAAAATAACATATTTATGTAGTTTAAAATCAAAATATGGGTACAGCATATCGACTTATAGGGTGTTGCTCCTGGTTTGGAAATGATCAACAAATGCGCATTTATTCCTTCCTTGTTAATATAGAACGTAGATCAGACGTCTTGTCGGCCGTCGCCAGGCTCACCTCAAAGAGTGCGAGCGATGATCACAGTGTGGACTAGATACCTATAGGATGAAATAAAGACTATCTCGTTTGCAGGAAACGCTAATAATCATCAAAACTCGAGATAATAAAGCGGACCGTGTCTGACATGAACGATCTATGGTAAAGGCTGTTGCATGTGCCACCGTAAAAAATGGCCGATAACATAGGGCGTAGCTGAAAGCGAGAATCGCAAAAACTTGCAGCATTCTTGTCGTAACTCATCGTTTTGCCTAAATCTTTTTGCCAAAATCTACTAAACATATCTTCTATCGTAATAGATCCGTGGAATGATTTTTCCGTTTTTCAGCTGACGTAGCCGACGAGGCAATGTTTTACTTAGGTTGGACAGATGCTTAAGAATCACTGAGAAGATGCTTTCAGTATACATCGAGGTAATGCATGTTTTCAAGCCTGCCATAGGCTTTATGATCGAGTGTTCTCAACTGAAATTTGGCAAGAAACTACTAATGATTGTTGCCATGTAGGAGAGGCTCAATCGAGTAGGTCTCAACGACTGCTATAAATATTGGCCTACTACTTACTTCGGTGTGACCAATGATTCTGCTAGCTTCTTGAACATATCCGATAATGAATCGGGTTAAATGAATATCTATCGGAATAGTGCACCATATTCAATTTAGCAGCGTATTGATAATGGGTGTCGTAACGGCACCATTTGCTTTATACGCTTTTCCTTTTGCCCGAAGTTGCATGTCATCGAAAGAAAGTTCCATGCCATGGGTGGCTTTAAAAATTGCAGTTTAATTCGGAACAGTAATCAGAGGCTAAAAATTGCAATCAGTCGGATCTGTCAGAGCCCAATTTGATCTCTGGCAGTGAGTTACGCTACCATAATATATCCAAACGTCATTATTATCTTACTTACAGAAGATACCGGGTCACGTAGGCGAAATTCATTTTGAGAGGCAAGTCTGTAGTCTAGGCATACTCCGATTATTTAAAAAGTGATAAAAATCAGCTCTGTATACTTTATACCAGCCGTTAGTCTCTGTAAGCTGTAGACAAGAAAAATACGCCCTAGTTCAGTATTATCTATCTTCATATTGGTTAATTTGTCTAGGCGTCACACATAGATCACTGTTAAATGCTCTGAAATCAATTGCAAATATTATCTCACTATTTGTCAACAGGTGTATAGAGCGCAATGCTGGGAAGTTCGTGTGACAAAACACGAGTTCTTAAGTAGAGGTTGGCCAGAGCATATCTATTGTTTCACCTCATCTTCTATTTAGTTCAAACTTAATCATCCCGAACACGTAGGTAGGCATGATTTCAATTCAAGAGACAAAACAGTGTCCGAAAAAAAAATTAATAACATTTGTGAACCTTGAAATTTGTGCGATTTAGATTTATTTTTCGCCAATGCTTGTCAGTGTATGATTATTTATTTAGACTTGTGTATGTCAGCAATACGGTTCGGTGTATGTAGGTCTGTTTATGTTTAGTCCAAATGAGTGCCATGTCCACGCAATACCCGGTACAAAAACTGCGCGACACATAAACAGCAACAAGAAAAATGTATTTTGTAATAACTAAAACTTTATGGTTCGATTTCATCCACGGTTCGTGCACACACACACACACACACAGAGTATTTTGCAGGAAATACAAATTTCTATCGAAAATCGATCTCAACACGTTTGCTAATGAACGAAGACTAAACTGGACATAGCCAGGCATCGTGCTGACCGGTAAGTTCAATTCGATTTGAAATATTTCAGCCCTTCATTATCCATGCTAAGTTTACTTTATCGTAATAAGGAAAATTCCATTTTCTAAAGTATACATTTATGAATTTCGTTGAACATTTGCCGAACAAAGCACGTATAGCTTCTCAAGATTCATTATACGGCATCAATACGACGATGCCGACTCGCAGTCACTTGTCGAGATAAGATCATTGAAATTGTTTAGAATGTTCGAGTGGTTTAGTTACAATATCAGTTGGTGTTTACCTGTCCCCTTTGAGCGTTTTCTGCGCTAGTATACGGGCCTCTTTGCCCTCGATTTGTTCTATTTCTAGCTCTAGTCTACGTAAATTAGGACACTCGATCTACGAGTGCAATAGCTATCGAAGAGTTTCATCACTCTTCCTTAGCGAAATTGCACTAAGGATATATTGCAATGATGAGGTCGACTGTTAAAAACTTTATTAAAATCATACAATAGAGCCCCACGTTTCTCTCAACTAAAACGAGCTAAACGGAATCAAAGGCGATCTTGACAAGCAAAGCCCAGTTCAGCCTATCGTCATTATTCTAAACGCATTAGGTGCCCTGATTAAGATCTTCACCATCCAGGCTTCACTTGCTTTATGCGCCATTCGAAACCAAGAGCAGAAAAGCTCAACTGACTGACTGACACACAGATGTCTTCAACAGATGGCGCTGCTGTACCAAGATAAGCTGGATGTTGGACAGAGTAGGCGTGTCGAGTGATAACACCGACAAACGCTGATGTCGGCAGCTAGGTCATTAAAAATTTTCCATCTCTTCAGGTTCTCCGCTTCTAAAGGGGATACATTTGCCAGCATACGGAAGACGCAGCGAGTAGGAAACATGAAAAAACCATCGTAACTTCCAAAAGGATCAATCGACGTATTCTAATTACGGCAACGGATCGTGGTGCATATCGAAGGCCCGGCCCGATTATTGGTGCTGCTGTCTTGAGTAAACTCGACAATTTGTGGTGATTTACATATAGTGACTATATATATTGGAACTGTACACTGAAATGCGCAGTGACAGAGATCAATAAGGAGCAATAACAGCAAATGAAAATTTGCTCCACATGAGCCTTCTTTTGTCGGAACTGCTCAGTTTGGTCCGTGAATACGGTATGTTGTATGCGATCATCGAAGGCGCCATTTTGTCCAGAACAGGCCATCTAAGTCGACAATTTTAGTCGACGAAGTTTAGCGAGCATGCCGAGACGAGCGTTTATCTGAAATTAAAAGTCGTCGGCTAAAAGAACTTGTTCCTAGGTTTTTGCGTGTTGGATTAGTTTGGGCAAAGCGCATAGCAACACACGGCCACAAGTTATCGACATACTTCGATGAAGTTAATTAGAAAATTCTTAAACAACACAGCTTGAATTCTACTAGGCTCTTCCGGTGCATAGCCTAAGATAAAATGATACTTCAAGTTAACTATGGAAGCCCAAATAGGTGTAGGCCCAAATATAAAAAATGCTATTGTTTACTTAAAGTAAATGACAATTAGGTGCTGCTGGCTACTAGGGTTGAAGATGCGAATTAATAACGAAAAATAATTTTGGACGGGAAGAACTGTCGGGGGATTCAATTATCTAGGTGCGTATATAAAATCAGATGTTCGAAGTAGGCCGCATCAATAAGAATAACTGATTTACAAAGCAATACAGTTTACTTAGCTCCATGCCGTTATGATTTTCGAACCCATATGCACTGGAGCTCTTTATTATTCAAATAATACAGCACTGTGACATGTGTTTATAGCTACTGTGAGATGTTTTTTCAAAAAAAATCTAATCATTTACTGATTGTTAGAACATTCCTGATCGTCGACACTGGTTAACATCGAAGTAAGTATGGTTTAGGGGGTGGTTCCACATGGATAAAGTAGAACATGCACTGGATGCTCAACAACATACGCTTCTCTGGGAGGCTGTTAACGCTGGAAGAATGATCTCCTCTGTTTGAACATATACTTCAAATATTCAAATTCAGTTTCTTTTGAATATAAATTACCAAACGCCTATTAAAAATGTATTAAAAAAAAAACTATGCTATGTGTAGTGTTCAATTTCAGTTAGTTTTCTGCAGTATCATGACAATAAAGGCCATCGTTGTCCCACGGCCAATACTCTCATGTACAAAGCAACAAAAACAGCTAGCTTTATTGTAAATATCAAATATTACATAAGCTAAATGATCTGAAGTACATTGCAAATCGGGAATTTTTAGTAAGTTTTACAAAATACGTTTACTTGTCCAGTCGCATCACGTAAAAAGCAGCCTGAAAAATTCGTTCAAAAAAATCCCAACTTTACCACTCATGGGTGGCTAAACGTTAAGTGATTTCTGAGATAGGTTCCAATGGGGCTGGAATCGATTTAAAAAAAAATGATTTAAAAAAAAATCGCTGCGAACGATACAACAACAACAACAACAGAGAAAAATGGAAACATTGAAGTTCTGCAATTTCCTCGCTTGAACGTTTATTAGTATAATAGGAATATATCATATTCACAATTGCATTTCTCCTGTGTTCTACACCCATCGACCGCTTATATATGAGGCCTTCGTGTACTTACAAAATATGCTGGGCAGAACTTCGGTGTTAAAAATATTTTTAGTTCGAATCGATTGAGAGATATGCACGTGGGCATCCTTACAACGAGGCATGCGTCTGTAGACACTTGATTATTATTCATACATTGGCTGTATTTCGTTCACTTAATATGGTCACGATGGTCATCCTAAGCCCCTATTCGCCGTGTAGGTAAACGTAGGCCATAGTAACGTAGTCCTGTATAATGTATCTTTGCTCGTTAATATCAATGTATTTGGTCGGTTGCAAATTAAAATAAATATAGTTTGCTTTCAAGCAATAGCGTATCTCAGTTGTGCTTAAGCTTTACATTTTACTAACGGACGATCGATAAACTAGCCATGGTATTCTTTGCTTCGACGCTCCATTGTATCTCGTATGCATGTATTATATAGATACAATAGAACAACGAAGTTTGTATAAAAACAGGTTCATATGTGTTAACGGTTGTAAATGACTCGTTTAAACGAAATCGTGTTATTTCCTATAAACTTTAAACATTGGTCGCGATCTAATCAAATTTTTGTTTATCTATCAAGAGCGATTGTTTGTTTAACCAAATATTATCGTTCGGTTAATAGGCTAAGTGTAGCTGGAGAATCAGCCTAGATGCAATAGACAGTAGACACTAAACAACAATTGTACAGAGACAGGGAAACAATGGTGATGTTATAGAACACATGTCTCTTCACGCAGATCTTGATCGTGCACACGTTTACTGCTATTCAGTCTGTAGGAACGAGATGATTTTCGAATCACTGTTTTCGCCAGGCGGCAAAAGGCCTTTGCATCGTCGCAACGTCTCAGTAGGCGCGATCGCGGTCCGGCGCAATACCTTACGAAAATCAAAAACGCCACTCCCGCCTCCACCAGTGATGATGCTTCTGTTCGCTTGCCCGTTGAACTCCTTGCTTGGAAGCTGGCCTCCACACGAACGGCTCGATGAACAATGTGAAGTTGAAGTTGAGTTAGCATGGGTGTGAATGTGCGATTTAAGGATCTTTTTAAAATGAAACGGGCCCTGTAAAGGGTCATCGGCAGGGTCAAGAGAGTTCGGCTCGGTGCTCCCTGGACTTGGCCTACGATAGCGAACATAAGAATTTTTCAGTTAGGATTTGAATGATCAACAACCGAGTTTGCTGCACTATGAGTGTGTGCGTTAGCGTGATCGCTTCCAATACAAAAAAACGTTGTACATGAACAGTATGTGGAATCGTTCGGATGAAAGTGTGGCTGGTGGAATTACCTGTATGGTGACAATTAGCCACGCCACTTTACAAATTAGGAACAAAAATAATCATTATAAAGTCTTCTCTAAGCTATTCCTGCGTACACATTCATTCACTTTCTGTACACACTTTGTAATTAACGTGTTATTGAAAGACAGAACGGAATGGAAAGCCAACGTATTGCGTGGAGGTTTTGTGCCGATATATTGTTTGGCCGCATACCGCGGTGGTCCACATTGTCCAATATCCTATAGCGCGTTTAACCTTACCTCAGCCGTTTTCGGATTGATTTAACAACCGAAGGGTAGGTGCCATTACAAAGCCGCAGCGATAGCCTGTCGTGGCAAATAGCAGCTCACTTTTGTTTAATAGTGTTCGGGCATCAGCCAGAAAATTCGAGGGCACACATGCACATGCGGTCGACAAGTGATGAGAGATAACAAAACCTTACTCAACAATCGAAAGCATTCGAAGTTCACAATGTTACCGCCTCGACAGCATAGATGCAATGGCATCTACGCGTGCGCTGCTGTATATTTCGTTACTTACTCAACGATACAGTCAACCCTCAAGCGGCACCTGTTTTCAACGTTCTAAGCACCCTCGTTTAGCATGCTCATCCGAACAGAGCCGTTGTTGTTGTCCAATGGAGTAAAGAACACGTTTTGTGCTTGATCGGAATGCATCACGGCGTTAAACCATAATGAGCCTGTGTCCAAAATAGGCTGCGAATACTGATGTTAGACCAAAGCTTAGGTAGAAAAAACGCTGATTCAACTTTTTAGATATGAGAACGGGAAAGCTACGTGGACTTACGCGCCGCTACATCGAGCGCATAGTAAGAACCAGCAATACAGAGGCGCTGGTCAGGCGTCGGCAATGGCAGGAGTTCCGGCCCACCGCAAAGCTCATGGGTCCCTTAAAGATTAAAGGTTGTCGGGCAGGTTGCGTGGCCTGGCGCCTCGTATCCGCGTTTGACGTACCGATTCACGAGGCATGTAATCGGTGGCCGTCATTGGCCGATCATTCGTTCGCTTGAAGAAGACGCTAAAGAAAGTTTGCGTTACGTCCTCTCCGGGGAGTCTATGGCGGTTCATTGGCCTCATGGAGAAGAAGCGGTAGCGGCTGCAGTTAGAAAAAAAAGAAGAAACACTTAGCTCAGCATGTAGATGTAAGAAGGATGCGGACGACAGACGAAGGATGGACCAGCACGCGGCTAGGAGTGAGCCCTTAGAGCCCCCTCTCCTTTTCTTGCACTTATTCACTGGTTCAGAAGGCGAGAACTAAATTGCCATCCACTAGCGGGCACCAGGCTCTGCTGCTGGGCTGCGGCTGCCTCAGCTGCCGCTACCATTAGTACCACTATGAAAGCCGAGCTGAGCTTTCCATCATCCTTTTCGAAACTAGGATCGTTCTTTTCGTTCAGTTTATTTCAGTCTACTCTTCCCTTTTTTTCCTCTACGCGATTCCCCGTACTTGTACTTATGCTACTGCTAACGTGTATGTGCTGCTACAGCTGCGGCTATCCTCAACGCAGTTTCTGTTCGGCTAAATGAAATGTAGAAAATCAGCACTAGCAGGAGCGCTGAGGACTGCCGTTGCTATCAGCAGCACAAACGGGAACTACTCGAGTAGTAATACAAGGACTTTCAATATATGGGCGGAACCCGACGTTCACACGTAAACACACAGCCACGCAGACCAACACATTCGTGTAGACAGTTTCTCGAATGGGGGTTTGTGGCAGCGGCTCTATTCTCTGCAAGGCAACGCCGTCCGAAGGTCCATTTGTTATCGGCAGAACCACTGAGTTAAATTCGTCTTCGCTTGCCGAGTAGATTCATCCTCGGACTCGTTTTCGTCGTCCTGGTTGCCGTTGTTGTCGCCGATGCCCTCCAGCTACCTCGCTCTAACGCGCAAATGCGTAAGAAAATACTATTCAGTGAGAAACGCGTCTCCGAGGCAAAAGGTAGTAAGGAATAAAGAACAAAAGGACATTACTGAAGAAGTGGCTCCAAGCTAATCTAAACCTTTACTAGATAGGAAAACTTCGTGAGATCTGGTGGAGGAACGCGCATATACAGCAAAAATTCATATATTAAGATGTTATTAAATGTTTCTTTTTATGTCAGCTAGTTTTTTTTTTGTTTTACTAATCTAGATACTGGCTAGTAAACTATTTTCACAATTGAAAATATATTATGTTTGGATAATAATGTCTACGTAACGGGAGCTAGTTCATCGCCTTATTAAATGTTTACGGTTTAAAAGGAGTTTAATTCTTAGTTAAGTTAGTTAGTCTCGTGCAGCTAAAAGAACGATAAAATGTTCTGAATGTATTTGTATTCAGCCATAAACTATTCCATTGGTTAACCGCTTTGAAAATGCTGGACCTTTTTTTATATAATCATCCAAATTATTCCGTCCAGAATACCCATGAAAGCCCGGTCCCTAGCCAAAAACCATGGAAATCTTTCAATTGCGTTTTGAAGTTAACACTAACGTGCTTCGTTGGGAACGTTTCTCCCACCAAGATTCAATTTCAAGGATAGATGGCCTTCCATTTGAAGAACTTCCCGAAGAATTCGGCCTCCCGAGCTCCGCAGTCGCTAAAATACAATTAGATTAATATATACCATGGTATCAGCGAAGAACATATTGAACGGCTCATTCTGAGAACAAAAGAGTGAATTGCTAAAATGTTTATCGACGAAAACCTCTTTGTTTGGTTTACTTCTTGATTAGAAGATACTACACTGGAACATTTAAAGATTCATCAACTTTTAAATAAACCAGAAAGCTATTTAACTTAGATCGAATTCTTATATCTCTCGCTTTTCTTCTCTAGATTTGCTTTGCGTAACGCGCCTACGCACTCGAATTAGAACCTGGCAGGGATGATCCAGACGCTAAAGTTGTCCCGGTGGCGGCCACGGTTACGGATGGAACAGGTGCTTGAACTTTGACGACGAGCCGATCCTTGGTAGGCATCACCGAGGCCGGCGGTAGCCCCACACTAGTTTGCCGGGGCTAAAATCATTAATCCGAATATGCAAGCAATTACTGCCTAAAGTCGTCAAAGCTGGACAATTGGTCTTATTTGGGACATTTGCCTATCGCTTGAAAAACTCGTTTCTCCATATTCAGTGGGTAGCGAAGGAAGAGGAAAAGGGTTTCAAATTTTATCTAGCAACGACAGTGTCTGTCGGCACGTTAGCTGGACCCCTACCGAACTACACTTAGACAAGACTACTAGTTTTAGAAATTTTAGCACATCGTATTGGCTGTAACGTCGTCGCGAGTGAAGGGTCCTTGCAGAATCATGGGTCATCCCGTCAGTTGACAGAATGTTTTCGTCTAAAGTGTAAATAGCGGCCTTGTCATGGCGTCGCTGAGACGAGAAAGCTGAATACCTGTTGATCATAGAACTATCTAGTTTGGAAAAACTGCAGAAAGAAGTATTCATATATGTTATTGCCTATTTAACGATACAGCGATATTTCTCTGGCATGCTCTTTCTTGTAGAAGTTAAAGAAATAAAACATCTATCAAGTAGAGAAACATTATTGAAACAAAAATTCATCCCCGTTGGTCTTTATCAAGTATTAGGATTTGGCTTTGCTGTTAGTTCAGCACTCCATAAGCCAAACATCCAATACGCTGGCTGACGTTGATGAAACACAGGGCATGACATTAATTTTCGCGTGATGGATAGCTCTTCTATGTGCTTTAGCGAGGTGAACGTCGGTAGGCGTTTATAATACACAAATACGTACTTACCGTGTTATCGGCGAGAGAGACCAATGACGGAATCGACAACGCGGGTTCGGTCCTCGCCTTCGACGATGTGCATTGCTAAAATTCAGGCAAAGCACAGAAGCTCGATAAAGTTTAAAATTGTTCCCTTTGCTTGATTGTAATTGTTGTCTGTTTTGAATTATGTGGAATCGCAATCTAAATTGATAAAATGTTTTTGGCAGAACTTCTCAGCGGCAATAGTGCTTCCTGTGTCAGTTGGTAATCAAATCCGAAACTTCATGCATGTCCATCGTCTGTCTACCTGACCATTGCAGACGTCAAGCGCATGAAACATGTTTGTATGTCAAGAAACTAAGCGCCACTTGCTTCTTCCGGATGTGCTTGGCGGGCGCATTAGGGTAAAGAACACATGAAATCTTCGACTGATTTGTTCTATGGCGCAAAATTAAAATATCTCAACGCCAGCGAAAGTCTTGGGCAGGTGACGCTACGTACTTTTAGTACTACAGTTTGAATTATTTAAGCTAGAAGACAGATCATTGGCTAGACTGATTAATATTGTTTTATCTGTTAGTTCAATGTGTGAACAGTTCTAAAATTACCGCTAACTTCAACACAGCATAGCTTCAGAAAACTTGTTAAGCATTCACTGAAATTGAAGCCGTTGCGCAATCTCTAAATCTTTAAAGCTTCGAACAGTTAAGGTCTCTGGACATGCGTTTGGTGCTCAGACACTAACAGATAGAGTCCTCCTAAATCCCTCATGGGACTCATATATCCTCGAGGCAGGGAGATACAAGAAACAGTTAGGTCGCCACTCAGGACCGACTCAAACCGATCGCCTCCACGAATTGCAAGTGTCTGGCCTTTAGTTCAATTTAAATTAATAGTGTTTTCGTTGTCCATATTCGTTACGAGTGTCTGTCATATATTGTGGGCCTTGATCAGAAGCGATTACAGTAACTTCTGGCTCACTTACGGATTGGTTATGAGTAAAACATGCGCGCAGATACTTTAAACACGTTCTCTATCCTGTCTAGACAATAACAGGTCCAAATGAATTGTGACGTATTTAGCACGCCGTTTATAAGCAGACATCTATGCCTTAACCATCTGGACGCATAGACGGTGAAATATTGTTTGACTTTTCTTAGGAATAAAAAAGACTCTGTTTTTTTTTCTGAATCATAGAAACTAATATATCCTAATTAGGTGCAAGTAGTTCTCGAACTACCTGTATTAGAGCTACATGGTACATCAATACAAATTCTGCCGACAAACTGACCGTGCGCTTAACGTCTACTCAAGTAATATTATAGATGTTTTTTGATACAGATGAGGCTTTAATTAGGTTCAAACAAATTAGTAATATACCCATAATTAACAAATAACATTTTTAATAAATATATCCATTTAATCACGTACACATTAATAAGAGGTTTATTTTTTGCGAACTCGATTCAAACCATAATTGTTAGTGGTAGAAACAATAAAAGGTCGCTACATGCTTAGTCTTGTCTGACACCTGATATAATATATCAACTTGTATATCCGCGCCAAGATCGCAGAGGCTAACCGTTGGATTTCAACGTGTAAGCATGACCAGCACAGTAGCCTCTAATCATTGCCGGTCTGAGATACTATACAGGCTCAAGGGCTAGGTTCCCTCCTATCTTTTGCCACCATTCCTTCGACACTGAGGGCTCGTTTTGTCCTATAGCTTGCCGAGCGGCGGTGGCAGTAGCGGAAACGGCGTCTTCTTTTACATGAGAGAAAAAGGATCCAGTGAAGGATCAGATAAGATCGGTGTCGTCCCTGGTCAGCCCTGGAACCTAAGTCAGCGTATAGCATGGGATGCCCAAGCAGCCAATAGGTGTCAGAAGGACACTGAAAAGAGATAATAGGACCAACACCTGCTACTCGCCCCCTTCTCGTTTCCCCATCACGCTCTGTTTCCACGAGCTACTACTTTGTAGCACAGGTTCTCATAATTCAGCTGTAGCTGCTTGGTCCTTCCTTGAGTAGCAGCCTGTACCGTCTTTTGCCATTTCTATCGAACTGCGCCAGCCATCTGGAGCACCGTCTTCACTCCTAAGGTCTTCCGTTGCTAACGCCTCCAACAAACCTCACCGCATCGCTGGAGTGCCTATTCTTCAAGAGAATGCTAATGGCAGCCTAAGAGATTGACTCGCAAGGCGTCTACCAAATAACAGTGTCCCACCGATATAGATAGGTGATTGGAACCGATCGTCATATATTGTGGTGTCTAGTCGCTAGAAAAACGATAAAGGAAGTAACTTGATAAACGCAGTCAGAAGAAGCGTATTGTGAGGCAGTATTCGTAAGCTGATCGTTTATCGTATAGAGGTCTTTCTTTGAAATTTATTCCTTTTTATTATTATAAGAGACAGAAAATATCTTGAACACGTCAGATCCCCTGCCATAGGTGTTAGATTATTCTGCAATGTGTTGTCTTGTTGCCTCCACTACTTGCGTCAGGAGTTATATGTTCTCTTTTTCTGCCTCCGCCAAGGGATCCATTCCAACACCATCGCTGTAGAGTAGTGCGTTCACAAAAAAGTTGCCTTCACTCATTTTAGTCATCGCCACTTCGCGTACAGCCACCCTGTCGCTCTCGGACTGATGACAAAATGGAGTGGCCTCCTAGCTTCACTGCGTTTCCAAGGGGTGTCCTTGCTGTTCCGTCGTGTGACTCACGTTATCATCATTCATATAAAATTCTCCTAATCCTTACCCTTGCCAAGACCTGCGGGAAGGTCGCCGTACATTGTCGTTTCATCCTGATTTAGGACAACATCCGCATCAACGGAGGATAGACAGTTTTATTTCCGCCTTCATGGCCACCACTACCAGAATCCTCGAGTGTATGTGCATATGCTGCAGTACTTGTCTCATCGGCTAGGCCATCTGGTTGTTTTAGTTCTTCTGTCGAAAACCCCTCCTTTGGAAGGTACCATCTAAGCAAAAGCGTAGGACAAGATCGTGCCCGCCTCCTGCTAACACGCCATTACTATCTATTTTTATTATTCCTTCTCCATGAGAAAGCTTGTCCAGTCTATGAAAGCCAGTTATTACCCTCTCCTCAGACCGGTTCTGTCACCACCCTGCTCTTTCTTTACGGGCAGCAGACACTTATTCTCTCCTACTGTCGCAACCTTTTCCGTACAAACATTGTATGTGTATAGGAAGAAAGCAGGTCGGCGGGATGTTTTTCCCATCATCCTATTGCATGCGGCTCATGAGAGAACGAACTCCCGGAAATTGTCAAATTCTCTACTTTGCGTCTTTTAGTTTTCTTTTCTAATCCTTGTTTCTCTTTACGAGCCGTCTGCGTAACTATCTAAGAGATGTCAGCCACAAGGATAACTAATCCGGGTAGTCTTTCTTGTCAGTTCTTTTCGCCCCTTGAGGCGTTTTCTTCCTTTCTCTGCTTCTTGGCTCTTCTTTTCTAAGATCCGCAAGGTATCACTGCTGGGTCGGCCTCGCATGCCGTCTACGCATGCAAAGAACCACAAGCCTCATACGGAATCATATTCTCCTCTTCATTGATGTTGCAAGGACAGTGGCAGAAATAGTTGCCGTCAACGCATTCCTACGCTTGAGACGCCAGGAGTGCGAGCGCGAGGCAAGGCGATAGCTTGGCCGCCGTCTCTTTGAACTAATGTTATGTAAGGCCGGCGTGTGATTTGATGACTTATCCACGTCACGCAGTTCTGCGATACTCACTTCCTTGGAAGGCAGGCAATGCAGCTTGTCAAAATACGTATTTTCTTTTCATGAGTGCGCCGTTTTGACTACAAGTGTCTCATTGTTCACGACAGTCGCTAGATCGTTCGTCGCTGCAGATACGAGAGTAGCTTGACGGCATAGCATAGGTACCCATATTATGACGCATTGCACAAATATGACTGCAATATATGCGTACAACTACCCAATTCTTGTGAATGAAGAAAGTTATATATGCCTATACGAATAGTTTATCGTAGAGGAATTTGTGTATGATGGGTTCGATGCAGGAGATGTGCTTAGTGGTAATAAAAAAGAACTATGACAGAACACCTACACTGGTACGTCAAATAGTATGCGAGTGTACATAGAAGCAGTCCTAGTGCTGAAACGGACATAGCAGTTTTACACCATCTGCTATTGGTTATCGCATAGATGTCCTTAAACGGTCTGTAAATGTTATAGTTTATCCCTTTGTATGGTTAGTCTGTGTATGCTTTTGTTTCGCTGAAGAATACAACGACTCTTTCACCTCCATGTTTTTTAAACTTTGACGATGTAGCAACTAAAGCCAATATTAGAAATAAAGTACGCAAAAAGTAAGCTACATGATGTATATGCATATATGATGAACATCGTCAACTCCTTAACTTAATCTCATCTAATAAGTGCCCTAATTTCTGAAACGATCTTCCTGTATTTTCCGCTAAATGTGAAAGGCCGATTCTACAAGCACATTGTATTGTATAGGTCAGTATGCCGGGAAACTCTAGCTTTGAGATCTGTAAATAGTAAATAAACGGTAGTTCTTTAAAGCCGAGGGCGTTGGACGAATCCCAGAGAGTGAAACAAGGAAAAACAGCCTTTTTAGTGCGGGGGCCGAGATTTATTGGCTAAATGAGCATGCACCTTATCGATGTATACGAAAAAATGAATAGATATTCGCCTTTTCTGAGAGTATAAATCTGCTTCTGGCTGGTTCCTTTAGCTTTGTATAGCTCACGTTTTTGCCACCAGGACAGGCTGATTCCAGGCTATGCAAAGCATATAGACTGCAAAGGCGGGAATTTGCTGGGTAATGCAAGAGACCTCACCTTCCTACTGTTTTCGCTGTTCGAATATCAAATCCCTACAAAGAAAAGGTGAGACACTATCGGTGACGATGGTGTTGATGTCCGTAAAAAAAACTACTAACAGTGACGGTATGTGCGACTCACTGGTATTGCCGCTTCGCTCCCGTTCTGGGCTCGCTTTCTTCTTATGCCAACAGACCGCCGCGCCGTCTCACTAAGCTAATCCCATTGAAGCATCATCTTCATTTACCCTTTCCCTCTATTCTCTGCTTTCCACTGGCATTGTAGCAGGTGCCTAAGCCAAACGCTGCTAAACCCTGACAGGCCAGGCCAGGCCAGGCTATCCTAGTCCTGTCTCACACGTAACCCCCCTACACCCGGTGCCTTCCAAAGATTCAGCGACTAGGAGTTTAAATTACGATAAAGCTGCCGCCATACTCGTCAGGAGCTTTAATTGAAGACAACGAAAAGAAGAAAGTCCTGTTATTCATTCAACATATATGTTGACATGCTCTATAGAAGTATTCGTTATGTTGCAGTCGTTACGAGTAGCATAATACGTCGTAATATGTCAGGCTCTATCGGCGTATAGAATGTTACGTACTTGCGGATTATTTGGTTGGTATTAGGTTGTCCTCATTTTGTTTACGTTTCTATTTTACTACTTCAATTTTTTCTACTGCACAATCTTGTATTGAGCAAGTGCATCGTTTCTGTTCCATTTCAAGGGATACGTCCTGTTCACGCCTTATTACCTTCGGATAATGTCATCTGTGTCAGGAAATCTATCCACAAATGCTTCATTTCTGAATCAGTCCTATTAGCAAATAGTAGCCAAATTGGCTACAGTCGAATTTCCCTTAATATACTTTGAAATTATCGACATGGTAGATGGCTTGAAAGCGATCCCCAAGGAAACATTGGGTGTGACGTATTTTACTGATAGAATCATGCGTTGCAGAAATAAACGAACAATTTTTACCCTGTTTTTTATGAAAAACAGTGGAAAGTCCACAGCAGTAAATTTCTCCTAAGTGCTGCTTTAGCAGGAATTTGTTTGTTAAGGTTACATTTGCCTCGTGCTTAGTAATCGATAAACAAAGCGTCAAAGAACACGCTTTTTGTTTGATGGAAAGATTCGCACGCGATGATATCAGCCAAATTAGATACTCTTCCAATGCTAAGAAGGAGGATTGCCGGTTTCTGTATAGGCTTTATTGAGTAACAGTTTAATGCCAGATTGTTAGAGACTTGATGGAGGATTCAACCACTGCATTGTCCACGTAGTAACTTTAAGTTCTGCATTGTAGGTGACCCTATCTATTAGCTACATGCGTTGCCTTTGAGTCGGAATAAACAGCATTTGAGTGACAACTCTCAGACACAAAACGCACTCTAGGGAGAAGGTCTACAAGTTATTTACGAGCACTTCTTATTTGGTGTGAAATAAGTTAGTTTGGCGATTGTCAGCGATGAAGTCATACACCTGACGGTTTGCAAAGTTTGTGAAAGGACACTTAGTTGCCGCCGTCTTTCTCGTACGTAGTCATGTTATTCAAAGCTGCAAAGTCGAGCTAAAGTCAACACGTTTACCTTACTGCTACAGTTGTTGGCGGCACTACATTGTCCAGAACAGGGGGTGGCCTTCTTGGCCACAGCCTTTCGTAGATCCTCGGTGCTGCCTGCAGTCCGGTCGAATATCGATGAGATTATGCGAACAGAATTACGGTATGAAAACATAAAATAAAACTTTGGTCATACATAATTTCTATCGCATATTGTATCCTTACGCTGGAAATGCATCAATTATAAAAGATGTTTATACAGTTAATTGAGTGAACGCAGATTATACGTACACACACAGACAGCGGATGAAAAACATGTAGGATTTATGTATGCTGTGAATTGTACTCCACACTTTCTCTTTTCTCTCAGATAACACAATAACAGAGCATACAGCCTCGAATATAATCGTAATGAATTTTTGCCGGTGCCGTATGAGTGTTGATTCTGGGTTAGGGCATAATTGACAATAGTTATCTAGCATCACGTGCGAGAAAATGATGTGCAGGGGAGAAAAATAAGTTTTCCAATTAAAAAATTGTTTATACAAGTCTACTTAAACACCTCATTAATCAACATTGAGTCTGTAAACGTTATTGTGCTTTGAATTTTCCCTGCGGGCTTCGCGCTCACTACTATTTGATTAAACACATGTTATTGACCCTGGCTTGTTGCCCAGTTAATTTGATCGTTCCATTGCATATAACCCATTTTCTATCGCAATTTCGCCCTTGCAGTACGTTGACATTTACCGTGCTGTACCAAATCACACATAGTTGGTTGGAATGACCTATCTGGGCATTTTACAAGCACTAAGGAAAGAATATTTATTCATTGCACAAGACGAGTGCAAATTTTGGTGAGCTATTTGTCGTGAGGGGCGTGCATTCAGTCATCTGGTATACCAACTGTACGACAAGGATCAGTATTTTCTACGACAGAACAAAATGTATGGTGGCAAGCAACAATGAGGTGTTTTTGAAATTTAAGAAAAGATCAGCCGCATAAACCCTCTTAAGGTTACAATTTTTTTGAGTTACCTCATTACGTCACGGATAGGTCCACGGCCGCAGGATGATCAGAAGTAGATCTTAGCACAACAGAAACGACCCTAGTGTAAACTCCACAACTAATCGTTGCCGTCGAAAAACACATTTCGATTCATCTTTGTGTTTCGGTCGGGGCGTTTAGTGAAGAAACCCGATATGAATAAGCGTACGATATCGCGAACTGTGCTCGGGAATCTAGGACATACATCGCTATGTGCTGTTTGTCATAAGAGTCAGACAGATGCTTTTTTTGAGGATTAGAATATATGATCGATGTTATTCAATTATCATAGAAGTAAAGTAGAGGATCATCTTCGATCCATTTTTTTCTTCATCGCAGAAACGATCGCTGGCTCATTTATGGTCCGCAGGATGTGCCACTTGTGCACAACAAAACATTTTCAGACGCACTACGTATTCTGAGTGTTGTGTTCAGTGAAGGAGACGCCATACCCTCATACTTTTCCGGGAAGGCGAACGTATCATAGAAAAGTTTGTCCTTATGTTCTAAAAACCTTAAACAGCTAAAAACCTGAAGGATGATCATACGTCTTCCAACAAGATGGTGCACCGGGTTATGCAAGGGATAGGCTGCTTGAGAACGCAAACATGTCTTGGGATGTTTGCGCATATAGCTGCCGAATAGCCAGGATTTGAACTCACTAAATTTCTACATATGGAGCGTTATCCAGCGAGAATTCAACAAGCATCGACATGACGACGTCCAAAAGAGCGTTCTCAAAATTACAAGGGAAATATTTAAGACAAGCCTGTAAGCCATGCAGGATTCGAATTGAAGATGTAATTGTGGTGAATGGTTTGCTATATTGAATAAACATGATCACGTTATCATGTTTTTATCTAAATATACTTCTAGAAACAAAACATAAGAGGAAGTTTTAATGTAAACATCGTACCTTATATTCATCTAGATAAATGGAATTCAATTTACCCCGTACCTGGGAACGTAGTTAGGGTGGTGCATATGCAACGTATAGCCAACAGGTGTTTATTAATACATATACACATAAGTCAAGTAGCATACGCCTCAATTAAAATACAAGGGTTCCCAACTTAGCTTCCAACAAAATACCAGTTGAGTGAATACAAAGGCTGTGCTTAAAACTGGTGGCTTTCGTGGCCTGTGATGCTGAGCTGGTCGTAGCGGTAGACCAAAGAGCACACCTAGGCGGAGCGAGAGACCAGGCAACATCCTCTCTGTACGGATCTTTCCAGCGCCTTTTACGCGAAACCCCAGAACTATGGTCTCGCATGGCAGGGAACGGCATAAATACGCGGTATTTTCTGAACACGTTTTCGAGGCAAAAAGATATTCTCGAAAAAAAAGCCCTAACAGTCGTACGATACAATTCTAACGGATAAATTTGAAAAGGCGCCTTTTGACCTGGAGAGATCCCATAGCTTTACATTGCGCTATAAATAGATGGACGTCGAGTTTTCCTATCTAACTCAATAGATATCGTTGTAAAAGTTACCCACTATAGACCCACTATGCACCAGGCCAACATATATATTTATGCATTTCCATACGCCGACCTGTACTTTTTTCTCATAGTAGTGTGACGAAAGCTAATATTTTCTTAGTAAGTTTGGCGGTATCCTTGCCTTAACTAAGGATCGCACAGGGAAAGTTCGACACACACCTCATGGGCCCCAGGAAAAAGCAGCAGGGGTAAAAAATTACCATCAGCATCCTGTCAGAAGTTTCGATACAACGGAAAGAACCCAGAAGCTAGTGTATTAACGTAAACCCATGTCTTCAGTGTACGAGTGTTTTCGAGTGCTATAATTTATTTTAGCTTTTTCGCTATGGTAAAGTTTTTCAAATAAGTATTCTTAAATAGTTAAAATGTTTACACACAGTTCAGAAAACGTGCCATCAAACGCAAAGGGCTCAAGTAAGCATATCTATGACAAACGTACATGGATGCATGACTTGAATTTTGGCAGAAGCTTTCTCCCGAAGTTTACGTGCGAGACGCATGGCTAACCAGCGTCTACATTGGGCCTGCACCCGGACAATTCTAGCTATCTGCATTTCATATTGTCGGCTTAGGTACTCCACGTGGTAATATTTGAGAAACACCTGAAAATGGGTATTTAAAAAAAAATATTCGCTTACATCCGGGAATTGACCTTATTATTTTTGCAATTGTATGAGTTTACTGGCCTGTTCATGCAGTCCCAAAAAAAAAAATTCTTTATCGCCTTCCTTCACCATACAAATGATACATTTGGCTATTGTAAAATTTGTTGAAATTCACCGACTTCTGCCACTTGTATGGTAGAATGAGCTTGTTAAAATTTATAATATATATATTTTAAGCATATAAAAATTAAGATACCATCAGTTGCACATCGTCAATTTTCAAATTTAAGTTGACCCGTACTCAGACAAGTAAGTTGAATGGCTTACCATTGAACAGAGCTGGCCCAGATTTAGAACCAACAATGCAACCCTGTGTGGGTTAAGTAAGCCAAACAACTAAGATACAGTCGGTGCTACATCTAAACGTAAAGCTGAATGTATCTATTGCAGAACTGATTATAGTAACACTCATTGCAAGCTATCGAGATGAACGTTTTTTATACAATTTTTAAAATGTAGATCTGTTACATACCTTGGATTTTCCCAGGGCGTAACCTTCAATGCGCAATCGTTTTAGTAGGAGTTTGCAATTTTCTCTGTTCGGTGCAATTCGAGCGTTGAAGCTGAACCCTAAAAAGCGGTACCTAAAAAAATATATCATTACAGTACTATACAATTCATTTTTTTGCTGATTTTTCATGTACTCACCCAGTTTTTTTTGCAAAAAGCGGGTGAGTACATGCTTTGTTTTGTTCCTTTGAATTCTGTTCACTAACGATGCTATACTCAATCAATATATTAGAAAATGAAGAGTAGGTAGCTTCGAAATCTATATGTACAAGTTAGCCTAGTACTATTTTGAGGAAATCACATGTTTAAGACTAACTTTTTTTGGCACAACAAGCTTAGGCGTGTATTTATGTATTTGAATTGTTGTTTACCGACGTTTCAGAGCGAACTGTTGCCGCACAGTGCGTCCGATATCTGAACACAATATGGAATCATCACCATTATAGCTACGTTCAGATCACAGCTTCGTGATGACTTACTATTGTAGTGCTATATTGACAGTATAGCCTATGTATAGTATATCAAGCATGGTCAAAATGTATTTTTCTTATCTATAGCTATTACCGTTTTTTTTTTTTTTTCTGTTATAGCATTTCACAAGAGTAAAATACTACAGTTGTAATTATCAGTTGAAACCAACTAGATACATTCGTACAATGGTATAACCCCAAGCCACTGTGGGAAATTCTCTCCGATTTGAGAGTGGCACCCCATTTCGATTTGGGGATTACAGATTTGTGTGTAGAGGGTACCACACAGGCGTAATCACTAGCGAAAGCAATCGACGTAAACCCATGGCTAAGATCGATTTTCCTACTTAAGATAAAAATGCAATCCATATGCATGGGTGCAGTGGGGTATATAACTCTGTTCTTAAATCTGACCTCAACGGCAAACAGTTAGTTAATGTGTTTGGTCTATCTGGCATAGCTTCTATTCATAAAGTCCTATAACAGCACCACAGATTTCCACGCTACGCGGAATGTTGCACATCGTATGTCTGCATGACGTTATCCGCTATACTTGCTAGTATTAGCAATGAGAGGGGATGGACTTGCAAGCAGGCACTTACGTAAACGAGATAGGGGTTTTGAACATGAGTTACATAAGCTCAGCATCCTACAAGCGCTGATGTGGAATGCAACTCATGCTGGTTAGTTTTTTTTTTACCAATCATATTGTTTGACACAAATAATGAACGCAACATTTTCAACAAACAACACACAAAAGTTAATCATTTATATTTTTTTCCTATTACAGTTAAATTTGGGTTAGGCAACAGAAGAACACTCACCATCCGCTGGCATCGTTTAAAGACATTTAAATATCTCTGTTTTTTTTTTTCTTTCAATATCATCGGAACGTGACATTGCTAAAACAGAATCTTTTTTTACAGCGCATTCTCTTTGTTTGTCTGGAGTTGAAAAAGCAACTGATGTTAGCTTGTGGTTTCCCGGCGACATCAGGACCCTACGACAAAGCTGCGTGCGGGCCTGGTTCTCAATTTAATTCAAAAGATTTGTGACTCCACAAAGGAGAGCTTTTGTAAATGAATTGGGGGCCGGAGGCACACTAAAAATGAGGGTTATATCATATAAACAAGCAAACAAGATAGTGCTCCAAAGTAATAAGGTAAACAGAGACACACGTATCATTGTTACGCATTGCATTCACTATTTATCCGTCTTGCCTGCTCGTATCTTTTGGCATTAAAAAGCATATAAGTAAGTGTTCGTTCGTTCTAACGAAATCCTTTTACGACGGTCTCGGGGAAATTACTTGAAAGATTAAATTAAGTGTATCCAGCTATAAACACATACATCTGGTAGCTATTCAATATCAGTGCTACTAATGTTATCGTTATAGTCTAATGTCAAGGTTAGCACAACCACTCAGACCCATTACGTGATAGACTATGGTTGGTTAGTAATTCCACCTAACGCCAAGCTAATTGATTGTTCTTACGTACAACAACAAGGCGTCATCTAGACGACCATGGTCATCTAAAAGCATAATGAACTTGGGGTAAGCCATAGGGATTGCGTACTTTCTTTTATTCGACTTGGGATCAGGGACCTTTAATTTTTATCTGACCGTTAGAAGTTTCCGTGCAAACGAAGCAAACGTCCTCAACAGAGGGTCCGCTTCTGCGATAAAATGACGACAAAGCAGGCCTTGTCAGTAAGGACAACCAAAAGTATCCCCAAGCCTCTCGCTGGCATTCGGGCTCGCCAGATCCAAACAACCGGGTCTCGCGTATTAAAGACGAAATCTAGCATTACGTGAAGCGCGAACTAGCTTCAAAACCACCAATAGAATTAATCATGCTCGAATATAAAGTCATGTTTCTTGGCGGATCCTGCCGAGTGCCTCCGATCACAGCGAAGCTATTTACGTACTTTTTCATCTGTTGCCTCGCAGAAGGCTATAATCAGTCTGGTGAAAAAGCGAAAAGATGCCAGGTCCGAAAAAACGTATTCCCGAGACACGGCGTTAGAAGGAGAGCGCTGACTTTAAGGATGATTTCCAGGAAAAACGGTAGGGGTACAGTCGCAATGAGCAGGCACGCAGCGAATACCAAGTATGACGATGACGTAGTTATGGACGGTTGTATGAGATGAGGCCTGTAGCGGCCTCGAAACTCGTAACAACTACTTGCTGAATTGGCCCGGCGATGGGCTACTATACCCGTCGTTTGTGATTGCCCCAAGTGGAAATGCAGCTGGAAGCGCTTGGGTGCCGAACTGAGACCCAAAGCTAGGAACAATTCACAGCCCACAAGACTCCAGTTGCGCTGTGCTTTTTGCTACCGCTATAAGTGGGTTTTCGTAGACGTCCGGGCATATGCCCGCATTTACACACATGTATATCTATCTATACACAACGCAGCGTAAAGTCAACCTTTTTTACAACGTAACTGGATGCTCAATAGAATACGATGAAGCTTACGTGACAGTATTAGTGATGTCAATGTTTCAAGTATTAGGTTCGGTATCACCGTTAGGCATTCCATCAGATGGATGGCTTCCTGTACGAAACGAAATGCGGCCATGCCCAGATTCGAACTCTGAATACCACTTGTCTTTAAGGCTAGCAGTAAAATACGTTACCCGTTAGCGCACCATGGGAACACGTTATGTATAGTACCTTAAGCTATAATTATACTTCGTATTAACTAATAACACGTCTGCTTGAGTTAGCTTTCGGGTATTCTATGGGATACTATATATAGTTACTCTGGTTCAAAAGTACTTAGTAAAAGTATCAACGAAAACTACGAAATGAAATGTTATTTACTTGCAAGCTCCTCAGTATTGTTAGTTAGCTTAGCTAGTCAAGTAAAAGTAATTATGTGAAGCTATTAATGTAAGATTGCAGTCCAATTTGATATAAAACGATCCTTAGGTTTATATCTTGAATATTTGATCTAAGATTTTTTTACAATAAACTTGAACAGCATACTTGCACAGTATCTTGCCATCTTCCAAGTTAATTGTTAACTTAGTTGTCTCAATGAGCGATCCACTGTAAAGGATTTCTTTCTCTTATTTTCCTGACAGACCATTGTTGACTTGATCCATTAGAGTAAGACACAGCCTTTTTACTGCTGCGCTATGTCCAGGAGAATTCTTTAGCGATTTCATTTAATTTCTAGACTGGCTTTCGTTATGGGGAGTGGCAATACTTTTATGCAGGTGTCTAACCATTAGACACCTCCTTATATCTGTATTTGATATTCAAGACATCTATCGAACGTCACAGCACGTGACACGCGGTAGGGATCCTATGTATTCAAGTCGTTATTACTGCACCTGCGCACACGAATTAAGTATCCGTTTTGCAACTTCTGCACAGAGTTTCAATTTACTGCAAACACATTGCTTCACAAGTATATACGCTCTTTTTCGATAGCTTAGATCTACTGGCTAATGAATCGATCCGCCATCCGTTTCAATGCGCCAGCTACGATATCTGCTTGCTAGCTAGGCCCTCACTACTCAAGAGCGCGGGTAGATAGATCCAAGGCGACCCGAAGCAACCAAAAGGAATTCGTTGCTGACTCGCAGGCGGCGAGCTGATCGGATTGAACTTCCTGACCCGGTCCAGCCGGGTTCCTCCCCTTCAGTCGTTCGTCCCGCTTTCCTCGAAGGACCTTCGGAGAGACTAAGATAGAAAGCAAGGTGATCCATTCTGACCTCCCATGTGCCTTTCTACCCCCCAAAGACGCCTCCTGCTGCGGCCTCTTTCTTACGCTTGCTCCGGCAGCCAGGCTTGGCTTCGTAGACTTATGCCTCTCTGGCCTACGCAGTGCGGCACCTGTCACCCGCGATCCAGCGCAATCTAAGATGACATTGGGAGCTGTTTACTTCGGGGGCAGGGAGGTTTGTTGTTTTGCTTACAGACCAACAAATCACAACTAAATCATCCAAACACCAGCACACAAGAGAACGTACTTATGCACGACGTATACCGTATTACAGACGAAGCAGAAGCTATAAGGAAGAATAGAAAAAACGCTGACACGGAAACATCCGATATTTGATAGACTCGCCAAATTTAAATTGGACATTTCTACATTAGCTTTATAGTCCACAGGTGTGCTACAGAGGTAGTAAAATTTGACATTTCTATTTTTCCGTATTTTTCGAATGTATAATTTAAGATTATGGTAGAATAACAATAAAAATCAACTTGCAGCAACAGTACTGCATAGACATCAACTTGCTACATGAAAATGGCATGAGAGCTGGAGAAATCCGCACCGAGCGGATCCTCTGGCGGCCGACGAAGAAGCAGGCACCAAGTGCCGTAGTGAGAACCAAAACAAAGTTGAAATAGAGGTATGCCCTGCTGCCACTGCTATATAGCCTTATTCTAGAGACGAATGACGATGCCGAAAAAGACCACTTCGTCCACTCTCTTTACCACCCGCCAGTCAAGCAAGTCGTCCGTTGAACCGCGATAGAACTCAAGAACAGAGAGCTTTGAGATTGAGTCTAGTTGCAGTCAATTGCCTCGATGCGTTTGGTTCGAGCCGATTTCCCTTCTTCTTTACTTCGTCGAACGAAAGAAA